TGACATCGCTGCTACAAACTCTGGTCATCAACTCTGGTTTTCAGTTGAAATTGAAATTGTTAATTTACACAATAATAGGAGTGCATTGACGATTTTTTCTCAACTCCCAAAAACTTCAAACAATTTGCTACCGATTGGTGATAAATTTTTTTGGAAATAATGAAATAGGGGGGATAACGCTTTTTTTTCAGGGCTGATTTTTCAAAAATTTATTTTAAAAAAAGTACTAACTAGCAAATGTTTTTTATTGACTCGCAATTTTCTTCAAAACCACTTCAATGAGGAAAATAATAAAAATTTGGAATATCTATACATGAGGGGCTAATTGATCGGATCTAACTGATCTCCTGTCCAGAGCATAATCTCTGCCCCCCACCTCTATGGCCAGTTCTACACCAAGCGCACCAAGTAATCCTAGACCGCCATTAGGGACAAATTAGACAGTTTATTTTCATTTTTATACGTCAACATGTGGAGATCAAGAGCAATTTCACGCACTTGTTGACGAAAAATTGTTGATTCAAAATCGCTTATTGAAAAGCTGTTTTGAGACTGGGAGTGTGAGTTGCAGGTGACAACTGTGAGGTATGGTTTTCAATAGTATTGTTTATCTTTGGAGTTGGTTATGTGGCATTACAATAGCAGTGGGAGTCATTGACAATCTGGTGAGGGATGAATCATTAGTGGCTCCAAGAATTGGATAGAATGGAATGAGGCAGACAATTAATTGGAGATAGTGAACTAGTGCTTGGGGGAAATGCTTGCAGTGGGCGTGCGGTCGTGGTTTCACATTTGATGAAACTAGATTTTTTAAGTCTTGAGGTAGGAAGAGATTTAAGAGGAAAATCTGACTCATTCGCTGAAGAATTTCTTTGGGAATGTATAAAACGATGAGGCAATATTCGATTTTTAATATCGAATAATTTAAAGCTCATTAGCAGCGAATATTTCATGTCTTTTCCATTAAAGTCTGCATTGCATGCTTATAAACAAAAATTTTCTACTAATTGCATTTTCGAGGAAAAAATGTTGGCGCTAACGTTTTTCCAAGTTAGCAGGAAAAATGAAGAATGTTTAATTTTGATATCGAATAATTTGAAGCTAATAAAGAGCTAATTTTTTACGCTTCGAAAAATTTTCCAGCTGAATAAACGACGAATATCAACATTCATTTGGGGAAAAAAGTTGACATTAAATTTGAGTTCACTTTCGCATTAAATTTGACGCAAAAATGAACATTTTTTAAAAGCGTTGAAAATTAGCTCATAATGAGCCCTAAAATATCCAATATGGAAAATTTAATTCACCTCAAACCATGCATTAAGGCCCGGGTGTACTATCTTTCGAATGTTATCTGGATTTTTTTACCTTTGATTATCCAAAATTGTCAATTGAGTGATACATCATGTAGAAATTCCCAAAAATTATGATAGAATGATAAAAAAAATAGACAAAATTCTCAACTTTTTCAAAGAGCGCTTTTAATTGAGATTCAGAATGAGTTGAAAAAAGTGGAAATTACAAACATCTGATTCGCTGTGGCAAATTATCTATTAGCTGTGATTTTCCATGGTGGATGACAAAACACTAATTCCTCATGGGCAGTAACAGCTAGGTAGGGGAGGGTAGGGTAAAATGGACACTTTTGACTATTTAAAAATATTCATAACTCAAAAACAGATTTATCAATTGAGCTCAGTCTCAGCTCATCACAAATAGGAATCATTGTTTTTCAATTGAAAAATAAAATTATTCCATTTCATAAACAATTCAACACGTCATGAATATTTCAAAAAAAGTCCAAAGTGTCCATTTTACCCTACCCTCCCCTATCTCAATTTTCAAAACAGTGATATGTAGTCATCTGCCATTTGTACGTGATAAAAGTGTGATTAAAAAATTCTCCAAAATATCACAACTTTTTTCAAAGAGCCTTTTCCGTAATAAATGTCTCTGTGCAGTGTGGGAAAAGATTTACGAAATCAGTCTTCCCCCTGCATGATATTGGATGACAGGCCCCCATTTGTCCCCCTAAATCAGCCACATTTCTCAATTTTTTCTTATTCAACTTATTCCGAATATAAATTAAAAATGCTCTTTGAAAAAATTAACACTTTTTTCTACTTATTTTTTATTACTCATTCATAATTTTTCAAAACTTCTGGACGATGCAGTACTCAATTGACAATTTCAGATGACGAAAGATTTAAAAAACGTCGAGATAGCGTTCGAAAGACAGTGCACCCTGGCCTTAATAAAATGTTTTATGGAAACCCCCTGATTCCAGTTGAAGATGCTGGCCCCAGAGGTAGGCTCAGCGAATTCCGACGCAGTGCACATACGTCTGGGCTCCGAGAAGGCGCCCCTGATATCCGGCCGTTCATTCTTCCGTCGTCTGGGGTCCCTCCTCGGTCTGCACAGGACTCCGTCAGCGATGTCAGACGGTTACGTTGAGTTCAGCAACCTCGAGGCCCGAAATGGACGCACCCTGGGAACATTTGCTGGTGTTTTCAGCCCAGTTACCCTCTCCATGTTCTCGGCCCTCGTGTTCATTCGTATGGGCTACATCGTTGGCAACGCAGGGCTGCTCATCACCCTGACGCAGTTTGTCATTGCCTACGGGATCTTGCTGTTCACGGTTGCATCAATCTGCGCGATATCCACGAATGGAGCTGTTGAGGGTGGTGGCGCCTACTTCATGATCAGCAGAACACTGGGACCGGAGTTCGGAGGATCCATTGGGACGATATTCTTCATGGCCAACGTCGTCTCTTCTGCCTTGTGCATATCAGGCTGTGCCGAGGGAATTGTGGAGAATTTTGGACCGAATGGCTACTTAACGGGCTCGGCGTCCCTTTTTCCGGACGGCAATTGGTGGAGATTCCTCTACTGCACCATCCTCAATACGGCAAACCTCGTCGTCTGCCTCATCGGAGCAGCCATGTTCGCTAAAACCAGTGTAGCTATCCTGGCGATTGTCTGCATCTGTCTCCTGAGTGTCTTCATTAGTTTCTTGGTGCAGGAGCCTATGGAAGTGGCCATTCCCGATGCCAATACCATCGTCAAGAACATCACTGATCATCTGAATGCTTCTTACACAGGTGAGCAAATGTCGTGGCATTTATTTTCCCATTTTTGGAATTCTCGAGTTTTTATCATTTCAGTAGTGACATTTTCTCCGAGAACCAGTATTTTCTGGGATTATTTAATAATTGATGAGTGGAAATTATTCGAGTCGAATGAGTCAAATGTCATGTATGGAATTTTTTTAAAATTAATTCAGTAGCGAAGTGGTAAACCGGTATAAGTCGATTTTTACTATTGCCCAGTTTTCAATGAATTTCTGAAAATCTGAGGGAAATGGCAAAATTTTTGTCGTAACCTTTTTTGTAGCTCTCAATTTGCTCTACAAAAAAGGAAATTCCAACAATTTCACTATTTCCCTTAGATTCCGAGATATTTATTGAAAACTGGCCAATAGTTAAAATCGAATTTTACCGGTTTACCACTTCGCTACTGATTTATTTAAGGGACTAATTTAGAAAAAATATATACCGTTTTTGCGTTTTATCATTGTACTTAATGACTCACGAAATTTTATGATCGTGCAATAATTTTCCTGCGTTTTTTTTCGAAATTTTTTCGGAAATTCATCAAATTTTAGAAAAAAGCAGGAAAATTATTGCACTACTATGAAACTTCGTGAGTCGATCAATAATTTGCCAGAAAAATTCAGAAAAAAACGTGAATTTTGGAAAAACTCACGAAAGGGTGTAGCGTACAATGTACATCCTCAAGACCTTCCTGAGGGATATCCATGTTCTGTGGATGACTCTACCCTCGAAAAATTTCAATTGCAGGTCTGCGATCGGAGACCCTCGTCAGCAACCTCTACTCCAATTACTCCGCGGACTACTCGAGCCCCGGTACAATATCGTCCTTTGCCTCTGTTTTCGGTGTTCTATTTTCGGGGGTCACGGGGATAATGGCGGGTGCCAACATGTCCGGCGAGCTGCAAAACCCCGCCCGTAACATTCCCCGAGGCACCCTCTCCGCAGTCCTCGTCACCTTCGTCTGCTACATCCTCCTCTCTGTCCTCACCGCAGCGACCTCGAGTCGCTTTCTCCTCCAAAACAACTTCATCTACATGATGCCAACCAACATCTGGCCGCCCTTCGTCGCCCTCGGCATCCTCACCGCGACCTTCTCCGCAGGCCTCTCAAACCTCATCGGCTCGAGCCGCGTCCTCGAGGCCCTGGCCAAGGACAACGTCTTCGGCTCAGGCTTGAACTTCATAACGCAAGGCACCTGGCGCGGCAACCCAATCGTCGCTGTCCTCACCTCGTGGAGTCTCGTCCAGATAATTCTCCTCATCGGCTCCCTCAACACAATCGCCCAGATAAACTCAGTCCTCTTTCTCCTCAGTTATCTCGCCACAAACCTCTCCTGTCTCGGTCTCGAGCTGGCCTCAGCCCCAAACTTCCGTCCCACCTTCAACTACTTCACCTGGCACACAGCGACAATCGGCCTCCTGGGCACCCTCATAATGATGTTCGTAATCAACAGCATCTACGCCTCAATCAGCATTATAATCTGCCTGATCCTCATAATAGTCCTCCACCTCTTCAGCCCAAGCAAGAATGCAGCGTGGGGCAGCATATCGCAGGCCCTCATCTTCCACCAGGTCCGAAAGTACCTCCTGATGCTAGACTCACGGAAGGATCACGTCAAGTTCTGGAGGCCCCAGATGCTCCTGATGGTCTCCTCACCGAGATCCGCATGCTCACTCATAGATTTCGTCAACGATCTCAAGAAAGGGGGACTCTACGTCATTGGACACGTCAAGACTGGTGATTTCAATGGACAGTATGTCGACCCCACCATCGAGGAGTATCCCAAGTGGCTGTCACTGGTGGATCACCTCAAGGTCAAGGCCTTCGTGGAGTTGACCATCACGAAGACAGTGAGGGAGGGCCTTCAGCATCTCATCAGGATATCCGGAATGGGCGCCATGAAGCCGAATACCATTATTCTTGGGTTCTACGATGAGGAGGCGCCCAGGGACTTGTTCAAGGACTCCAAGTATGCGACTGACTTGTTCGACCAGCACAACCAGAACTGCTTTCCCATCAGGTCTCTCGGTGAGCCCAGGAGTCTCGATGGCGTTCACTACGTCGGCATGTGCAATGACGTCTTGAGGATGAAGAAGAACTTGTGCTTGTGCAGGAATTTTCATCTTCTCGATAAGAATCGGATGGGCAAGGGGGGTGATCTCGAGTTTATCGATGTTTGGCCGGTGAATTTTTTCAATCCAACTGATCAGGATCCCTTCGACACCACTAGCCTCTTCATGATGCAATTGGCCTGCATCATCAATATGGTGTCCTCGTGGAAGGGCCTGACTCTCAGGGTTTTTTACGTGGAATTTGAGGAGGCGAGTCTCAGTATTTCAGATCCTGGTAGTGCATGTAGTGATTTCGTGGCCATTTCCACGGAGATCAGGATCAGAAAGCTACTGGATATGCTGAGAATCTCCGCGCAGATACAGAAGATACCTGGCTGGGGTGCCAGGGGGAACAGGGGGGAGCTCATTCAGCGGGGGGTTGAGGGGGATGGGGGGAGGGGGGCCAGCAGTGGGGCGAGGAGCTGGATCCTCGAGGCTAATCATGTGGTGAGGGGACAGAGTGGGGCCAGCGCTGCGGTCTTTATGTATCTGCCGGCTCCACCGAGTGCTAGTGCTTGGGAGGAGGGAACGGTTTATCAACAGTATTTGCAACTGTTAACGGAGCTCACGGTGGATCTGCCACCGACGGTGCTGGTGCATGGAATCAGCGCTGTTACTTCGACTACTCTGTAACGAACGGAGGGTGCGGCGGCGGGTGATACCTCTTCGTGGTGTTCATTATTGATAGGGAGGTTTTCATTGCGTCTTTGAGTGTGGCTGCGTTAGGGAATTTTTATAATTCAGCGGCGAAGTGGGAAAACGGTACTAGTCAATTTTTATTTTTGATGACCAGTTTTTAATGAGTATCTCGGAGTCTGAGGGGGATGGCGAAATTTTTGCTGTAACCTTTTTTGGAGAGCCGAGTGAGAACTGCAATAAATGTAATTACGAAAATTTCGCTGTCTCTCTTAGATTCGGAATTATTCCTTTTTTTTTTTTTTATGCTGTAGAAACATGTAAAGTTTTGAGCAAATAAATATAACAAAAAAAAAAAATTATTTCTCAAAAACTCACATTAGAGATGAGTCGACTTTAACCGCTTTACCACTTCATTACTGAATTCATTTCAAGGTGTACCACACTTGAAATCGAGATGAAAATTAGTCCGATGATACAGTGATAATACAGTGTGATGATGGGATTTACACTACGATAAACTCATACTATTAATTCGGCAACGAAGTGATGAAACAAACGCGATGCAATTCAATTTTTTTTTCTCAGGATTTGGAATTATTTCGATCAAGAGTTGTTTCGCAGATATCACGAGATTTCTTTTGCTGAAATTTAAAAAAATCTGATGCTCGATGACATGTTCTGTTACATTTCACCACTTCTCACTCATTCCCATATACTAAGGACGAATAACTGGAGATAGTTGTAACGCTAGATGAATTTTATCCGCTACTTTTATAAACATGTATTAATTTTTTAAGGGGGAATAAAATAATGAGAAGGGATTGTACATAAGAGACACGAAGTTTTTCAATTGAATAAATAATTTTATGTATCTGATGGTAATATGTGCATTAAATATACTTGATATCGGGGTAATGTATAAATAGAATTATTTAATATATTTATCATTTGTACATGGAGCAATAAAAACATTATTGGTAACATGGAAATATTTTTCTGCGGTATCTGTGAATTATGCAAGGCTCGAGTGGTCCTCAATCATTTGGCTAATGCTATTCAGCACTTATTGTTGTACAGTGTATAATACTATTCTCCATAAAATAGTTTTTATTGGACATTTTTTATTGAAAAAAAAGTCGCAGTAAAGCTGCGGAATCCTTCAGTAGAGTCGGCCAGAAACTAATAGAAATTCAATAGAATTTTCTATGAGATTTGCTAATAACTTCTTCAAGTGTGCATATACCTGGAGAATGAATTCAGAAGAAAATATCGTAAGACATCTTGTCTTCTGACATTTTACCTCTGAAAACTGATTGTTCTGTTATGTTTTACCAATTGACTAATCATTAATTGAAGGACGGATTTGTGGATCAAATTCATTTTTTTACTGCACTAGGAAGAGCCTTCGACGTAAGACAGGTATCAGATTTGGATTCCCTCAGTTCTCCAGTACTCTGTGAATAAAAAAATGTTGAAAGCATTTAAAACTAATAACTTTTCAAGAAAAAATATATCAGAATCTACAGAACACAATTTTATTTTATAAATGGTGATGACGTGTTTACGAAGAGGTGGAGGGGCTGACCTGAGTCCGCTGGAGATGCACCTTCTGATCATACTCCGACGTGGAATTCTTCAGCAAGCCCTGATCATCCAGAATCTCCCCGTGCCTGAGCCTGACCCCCACGAGCCTCAAGATGTCCTCCAGCTTCTCGGAGTACTCCATATGCCCCCCAACAACGGTTTCCAAATCAATATTATCAATGCCAGGGTAGTCCAGGGGCATGAGGCCAGCAACAGCAGTTGTCATCGAGAAAGTTCTGTACAGGAACCTCAGGAGCCAATCAGTTCTGGCATAACCGTTGACAATCCTCCCTGCCACGACACTGGAACACTTGCTCCATTGCTGCTCATTGGCTGTGACGGGCGCCCCGAGGAGAATGGCATCCTGAATTATTCCGAAGGCATTCTTTCCCCCAGTCTCACTCATCTCGCGGAGACAGTAGAAAATAACTCGTGCACCTGGGGAATATCCAATCAGTGTCACTGGTGACTTTCAACTGAGACATTTTCCGTGGAAATTCCTCGACATGAGCTTTCCACGTTTTTTCTCTTCATTTTAAATAAACAAGAAAGTTTGAGCTGAGAACTTTCTACAGGAAAAATCTCAATTGAGTAATTTGTATGGAAAAATCATGTTCTATTAATTTTTTCTATAGAATATTATCAGTTGAATATTTCTGTTGACTGAAATTATTGGAAGACAGTAAAAAATATCTTGTGCACCTGGTGAATATCCAATCAGTGTCACTGGTGACTTTCAATTGAGACATTTTCCGTGGAAATTCCTCGACATGAGCTTTCCACGTTTTTTTCTCTTCATTTTAAATAAAAAAGAAAGTTTGAGCTGAGAACTTTCTACGGGAAAAAATCTTAATCGAGTAATTTGTATGGAAAAATCATGTTCTATTAATTTTTTCTATAGAATATTATCAGTTGAATATTTCTGTTGACTGAAATTATTGGAAGACAGTAAAAAATATCTTGTGCACCTAGTGAATATCCGATGAGTGTCACTGGCCTCTTGCCGTGCTGTCGACTGAGAAGTACGTGAGCGAGATGTTTTCCGACTTCTGAACTCCGTCGACAGCAGACGGACCAGGGATTATCGATGACCGAGGATATTGATAGGAGGGCTGTCGGCCAGGCAATCGCCGACATCAGACCACTGAGGATCGTGTACTTGAGGGCCTCCTGCGTCGCAAAAGACACGGCCATGCTCAAGATGTATTCAAGGGCTTGGCCGAGTTCTATCAGGTACTTGGTCTCGTATCTGAGTGCATACTGCTCTCGGGAGATGGCTAGGCACCGCCAGGGCTTCACAATGGCTGCCTGGTCGTCGGATTTCAGCCAGCCGGTTATCGCTATGGCGATGTGCAGCTGACTGTCAGTTTGGGAGGTGCAGTTCAAGGGTTGGAAGGAGAACTCCTCGAGCTGGCCAACTCTTTTGTTCATTTTGTACCCTGGGGGAGACATAATTCACGTCAGTTCAACTGGCAACATTTCATCCCAATAATAATGTTCACTTTAATGAATCCAATTCCATTTAATACATTATGATGTGTTATATTCGAATTAAAATAAGTATTTTATATTTGAAAGGAAATTCTAAGAAAAGAAGATGACGTGGGAACATTTATTTCTATCGTATAATATAGGGGAGGGTGGGGTAAAATGGACACTTTTGACTTTTTTGAAAATATTCATAACTCAGAAACAGATTGATCAATTGTTCTCAGCCTAATCTCGTCACAAAGAGGAATCATTGCTTTTCAATTGAAAAATAAAATGATTCCATTTCGTGAACAATTCAACGCGTCATGAATATTTAAAAAAAAGTCAAAAGTGTCCATTTTACCCTACCCTCCCCTAAATTTATCTACATTTATAGATACACTCTAAATAATCCATCGACATAAGGGCTCAAAACGACGATCAGGTGGAGACATTAGTGAAGAAGACTCTGGATTAAGACTAAATAGAACAAATTTAACGTATGAAAAAATAGAATGTATGTTATCAGATCGAATGGACGAACAAATCAGGAAATAAAAATCAACAAATAATGAAAAAACCTCATTGGCAATATCCCTTTTAACGTAATTCGTCACAAGAATTTAATTTTATATTCGATTCTATACGTCTCTATAATTTCATAAAGAATTTCAAAATTGAAAAATTCGTGATTCGGGAGGAAAGAGGAGGAAGGGAGCACTCTAGAGGAATCTTTAGCGCTAAACCATCAATAGTCGTTTATTGGAAAACTCAATTTTGCCTTGGAGATTTAACTCTCGTCTTCGGGAAAATCTCAGTTCTCTGTAACCAAGAAACTCAATTCCGCTGACTAACGAGGAAAACTTAATTTACGCTTTTATGCATCACCGATAGATGGCGAGGCTGCATAAGCATTTTTTCCCCGAGTGACCCCCCAAAACGAAACCATTGACGTACCCACGTCAAAAGTAGATAAATTGACCGTTTTTTTCAATTATTTCAGCGAATATCTACTGATTTAATGCACATTTTCAATGTTGTTTTTATTGTTTTGACTTTTTCACAGGAAACCGATTAAAAAAAATATAGAAAAAATACTCCACCTGTTAATCCAGCTCCAGCAACTCCGAATATCGACCCGATGATAGTGACACCAGCAGTACTTGTCAATGCAACTGTCGTGGCACCCCCCAGAATCGTTCCAACTCCAACACCGATGAGAGGTGCTGCTAGGCCCCCCGTCAATCCTATGAGAGTTCCACCCGCTAGGGTTGCAATGCCCACTGATGCGTATCGCTTAATTTTTTTCATTCTCCGACGACGAGCACTCGCTCTCTGCTCTTCCCTTCACGAGTAGTTGAAAAATGGTATATTTCGTTACGAGTGCGGAAAAGTATTTTTCATCACGCTGTGACGAAAAGTGAACTTTTCGGCACGCTCCGCGTGCCTAAAAGTCCAATTTCCGCCACATAATGATGAAAAATATTGTTCGTAACTCGTGAAAAAATGTTTTTTGCACTCGTTACGAAATATACTATTTTGGCTCGCCTTCGGCTCGTGCTATAAACCTCCCACGAGCCAAAAAACACTTCCCACGAGTATCGAACGATATTTTTCATCATAAACGTCTCTTTTCCACACAGCGTGATGAAATAGTATATTTCGTAACGAGTGCAAAATAGTATATTTCAGCACGTGTGCGATATTGATCGTCGAGGATCGAAAAATCGTTAAGGACGAAATTTCCCAACAAGTACTGAACAAAATTTTATGTCACGAAGCCTGAAACCGGCTGAATTAGACACGAGACGCGAAGCGTCGAGTGTGTAATCCAGCCGATTTCAGGCATGAGTGGCATAAAAGTGTTTTTTGGCGAGTGGGAGGTTTATATATATAATCCCACGAGGTAAAAAACATTTTTTCACGAGTTACGAACGATATTTTTCGTCACAATGTAGGCTTCGCGTGCCTAAAACGTCCCTTTTCCGAACATTGTGATGAAAAATATCGTTCGATACTCGTGGGAAAAGTGTTTTTTGGCTCGTGCGATTATATCACTCGCCTTCGGCTCGTGCTATAAATCTCCCACGAGCCAAAATAGTATATTTCGTAACGAGTGCAAAAAACTCGCCTTCGGCTCGTGATATAAACCTCCCACTCGCCAAAAAACATTTTTTCACGAGTTACGAAC